TAAACAAACCTGACAGCATTGCAAAACTTCAAACATGCATTGAAATTTGACGAGCAATATGTTATTATTCATGTAATACATTCTCTGTTGCATTCCCCCTTTTGCTTATCTTTATATCCCTTAAAAAATATTATTACAAAAAGTAAAAAACAAATTTGAGTAAGGAAGAGAGAGAGAGAAGAGAGAGAGAGAGAGAGAGAGATTAGAGAGAGAGGAGGAGAGAGAAGAGAGAGACGAGAGAGGAGGAAAGAAAGAGGAGAGAGGAGAGAGAGAGAGAGAGAGAGATACGGAGGGGGAGGAGAGGAGAGAGGAGAGAGAATACAGGGCCAGGAGAAGACAGAGAGAGACATAACAGAGAGGATAGACATAGAGAGAGAGTAGTAGAGCAAGAGAGACAGAGACATAACCAGAGAGACAATACAGAGCCAGAGGACAAAGCCAAAGACGAGACATCGAGAGAGAGAGAGAGAGAGAGAGGAGAGAGAGAAGAGAAAGGAGAGAGAGGAGAGAAGAGAAGAGAGAGGAGAGAGAGAAGGAGAGAAGAGAGAGAGAGAGAGAGAGAGAGAGAGAGAGAGAGAGAAAGGAGAGAGAGAGAGAGAGACGAGATAGTAGCGAAGAGAGAGAGAGAGAGAGAGAGAGAGGAGAGAGCGAGAGAGAGAGAAAGAGCGAGAGAGAGCGAGAGCAAAGTTATTTAAAACGCCTCTATCCTGTTGACAAGGAAGTTGGCCAAGACGTGGCTCTCTCAGGACAAATCATCACAAGTTTGACGCCAGAGGAAGCCCGCATCTCATCCGGAGCAAGTAATAATGGCTGAACTTCCCCTCAGTGCCGTGTATCATTTTCATTAGCCTTATAAACGGTATATCATTCGCTCGTGATGCATAGCACCGTTCGCTCACAACATTCCATAATGTATCATCACGCATTGTATTTATTGTATAATACATCAAAACCCCTTTCGAATTTATAATTCTATACATCAAAACACGTGGTATTTATAGTTTGATTAATCATATTTGTAAAGCCCAGAGGACTTTCCCATATGCTTTATCTCACTCTCTTTTAATGCATTCCGTTTTAAATCAGCAAGGCTTTATAAGCTGTATGTGTATGAATATGAACTCGATTTCAACAACAACCGCAAACATATATCTTGTTTCGTGTATTTGGAGTGTGAATGTTGCATGAGTAAATATGACATAAAGATTAAAAAGGAAAGTTGATATCCGGAAAACTGGCTTCTTTTCTGTCCAGTTCCTGTAAATATTAAAAAGCTTTCAAATTTGTTCTTGGTTTATGGAAAACGAGATCATTAAATATTTAAGTGGAAATCAGTACAGCATCCAGGTATATATACATATATATATCTTTCAAAACAGTAATCCTTTCTCTCAATCGCCGTTTTTTTCTTCTTACTCATTTTCTTTCTTCCTCTCCCCTCTTCTCTCTCCCTCCCTCACTCATTTTTCCCTCTCTCTCTATCTCTCTCTCTCTCTCTCTCTGTCTCTCGCTCTCTCTCTCTTTCTCCCCCCCTCTCTCTCTCACTCTTTCTCCCCCTCTCTCTTTCTTCTCTCTCTCTCTCTCACTTCCTACACGTTTCTCTCCATTCCATCGACCTATTTACCCATCGCTCTCGCTCGCTCACTCGTTCGTCGGTTCGTGTAATATTGAGGGCGCAGAAGCTCGTCCAGTGTGTGTTTGTCGGGGTCGTTAATGATTCAGCGGAACAGCAGAGAGAAGCAGCATGTAACAGCTGTGAACACACGCGGCCTAACTTGTGATCCACTCGCACACATACACATGTACACACATACGTACACACACGCCAACGAGAATGCAAGCGGGTATGAAAATGACACACGGGTATGTAAAAAAAAAAAAAAAAAAAAAAAAAAAAAAAAAAAAAAAAAAAAAAAAATTCAAGGACGTGGGCATATACGCGCGCGTGTATATTCATTTCATGTGTGTGTGTATGTGTGTGTGCAGGCGCTCGTGTGTCTGTTTGCGTGTGTGTATATGTACATATTTATAAACATACATACATACATATATGTGTGTGTGTGTGTGTGTTATATGTACACATTTCGGTTTATCATTAAGATGATAAACTAGAGATGGGCCGAGGTGTCCATGTAGCCTGAGTTGACGTTCAGGGATTATGCAGGTAACAGGTCCCATGCCAGTCTCACAGTGGAGTCGTTGGTTGGACATATGGTTACAAAAGGCATGGAAACGTCACTCCAATGCACTAGATGGCGTCCAGGTTTCGCTTCCACAGAGCAAAACTGGCAGTGTCAAGGCCATGAAGACATGTAACTTAGCCATTCTGCGTAGGTATGGGTACCCCCTGAGACTCTTGTTGACCCAGTTCATGGCTCCTGCTGCCAGACCAATCCGTCTACTGACTTACTGGTCTGACAGCGACAGCCCAGAGACACGAACTACACAACCAAAGTACGTAAAGCTCTCTGTAACTTCAGCGTTCTCGCCGCAAGCACTT